TGTCGTGGATGTCCTCCTGACGACGTAGTGAATTATTCTAAGTCTTTCAAAAATACTAAGTTCTTGGAGAAGCAGTCGAAAAATCTCAAAGAGTGGTCAAAAAGAAGCAGGGGCAGCTGGGTCTCGGTCCAGAGTGGTTTATTGCGGCAAATACAAGTCAACCACATGAGCTGTTAGCCAGGCTAGCACCTGCTCTCTTGGGAAAAGTGGTCTGCTTATATACACTCCCTGGGTCTTGGGGGCTCCTCCCCGAGCCCCTCCTATTTATGACGTAATTTCAGGTCATATTCCACGGATATCTCTGTCATTTGATTTTGTACCGGTGGAAGTTACTCTAGGATGTGCATTAATTACAGTGACATGACTATAATGACTGTAACATGAATATATGCATTGCGAGATAATAATCCACTACACCCCCTCGCCCCGCCCCCTCGCCAACACTCCTCCAATCGGACGCCGGCTCTGACCCGGTGGGCGTTTCCCCCCACAGGCTCTGGAGGACCTGGAGAAGTCCTCGGGCCACACCCACCCGGACGTGGCCACCATGCTGAACATTCTGGCGCTGGTGTACAGGTGAGGGGTCACCTGACCCGCCGGTCAGCTTTCTGATGAAGCAGGTGACCGGTCCAATCCGATTCTTCTGGCTTTGTTAACAGTTTATTTTTTGTGTGTTTTTCCTCAAGAGATCAGAACAAATACAAAGAGGCAGCCAACCTGCTGAACGATGCTCTGGCCATCAGGGAGAAAACTCTGGGAATGGATCATCCTGCTGTGAGTAACTGCTAATAAACAGGACTTCCTGTTATTTCAAACACATGAGGGAAACTTATACTTTCATACAACCCGACGTGTTCAGCAATGGGGACAATGTTGGTGAAACTCCCTGTGTGGGTAACTGTTAAACCAAAAGAGATTTGGTTCCAATAGATTTCTGAGACAATTCTGGTCTTATTTGCTACGCTACATGACCCCCTCCAAGTAGAAAGGTTTGATCCAACATGGCCGGTTCCAAGATGGCCGCCGTGTTTCGGACACAGCCTAAAAGACAGGCCACCTTGTTGGGATATTCAATTATGTATTTTGTCCTTTTGTTTCTGAGATAAAAGGGTGTCCTGTGACTTGGGCTTTAGGTATTTTTTTCTTCTCGCATACTGGCTAATAAATGTGTTTATGAAGTCACAAGTTAGAGGAAGCATGATGTCCCTCCGACCTGGTTCGGTTAACCTGGACCCAGGGCTGAACCCAGACCTGGACCCAGACCTTGACCCATAGCTGGACCCAGACTTGAACCTGCTCTGAGTGTGTTTTTGTGTGTGTGCAGGTGGCCGCCACCCTCAACAACCTGGCGGTTCTTTATGGGAAAAGAGGGAAATACAAGGAAGCGGAGCCTCTTTGTAAGAGAGCTCTGGAGATCCGGGAGAAGGTGAAAGTACCCCACTTCTTTTCACACTTAAGCATGAACGAACCCGGTCTGACTTTCCCCTCATCAGAGTCTGCTGAGGCTGAATGTTCTCTCCGTGGTTCAGGTTCTGGGTACGGACCATCCAGATGTGGCCAAGCAGCTGAACAACCTGGCGCTGCTGTGCCAGAACCAGGGGAAGTACCAGGAGGTGGAGGAGTACTACGAGCGCGCGCTGCACATCTACCAGAGCAAGCTGGGCCCCGACGACGCCAACGTGGCCAAGACCAAGAACAACCTGGTGAGAGGAGGCCCCCAGGGGCCGCCCGGGCCTGACCACAAACCCGTCCCCTCCAGGAAAGAGAAAAGAGTGAAGAAGCTTGTCTCAGAGTGAGTTTTTTCGTTGTTTACTCAGGCGTCCTGCTACCTGAAACAGGGGAAATACAGACAGGCCGAGGCTCTCTACAAAGAGATCCTGACCCGGGCTCATGAAAAGGAGTTCGGCTCTGTGGAAGGTGAGAGAGGATTCCCTGTTTTATGAATCTTAAACCTTAGTTTGACTTGTAAACTGGCGGAAATCTCCAAACCAAAGGATTCCGATAACCCTTTTATGCTCTATCTGCCATATTCACACCATCATTTAGTCAAAAAACTTTTGCAGAAAATTTGCTTTTAGTTTAACTCATTGACTGCCAGAGTTTTTTTTAGCATTATGACAGATTTTTCAAGAGCCACAGAATAGTTTGTGCTATGACTATGTAAACACCGAACGCACCAAAAGAAAGAGTAGACTCTCTTCTTTCATCAGGAAAAAAAAATTAGTTTCTACCTTATTCCGTTCTTCCTGGACTTGCGTCTCACCGGCGACATGTTCTCTCATAGCGAACCGTTACCTTTTTCTTATTTGCCTACAGTCTATGCTCATCTCCCATCAAAAGTGGCACTGCCCCCTAGAGGGTCAATTTGTTACTACATACTCTGTCTAGAAGCCTGATATTTACGGACAAGCTTTAGCAGATCGTCCCCCAAGCCACTCTCGTTGAAAAACATAAAAGACGTCTATAGACGTCTTTGGCAGCCAATGAGTTAAAAATGTGCAGAAAAAATTGATCAAATCTGATTGAAATAAAAAAAAGTCACGTTTATTTTGGCCATTTTGTTCAAGAACCACCTTCTTCTTCAGTTAATTAGACCCTTTTATTTTCTTACTACCTTATTATTTTCAGAATTCTTTTATGTTGAGATTTTTAGAATAGAAGTCTGTGACTTGAGGTTGAAGGGGTGAGTGTGGGTGTGAGTTTGGTACTCAGAGGGGGGGTGTGTGCGGCGCCCCCAGGTGACGGCCGGCCCAGCTGGACGGCGGCGGCGGCGGAGGACGGCGGCGGCGGCTCGCAGGACGGCCTGAAGCGCAGCGGCTCCTTCACCAAACTCCGGGAGTCCATCCGGCGGAGCAGCGAGAAGCTGGTCCGCAAGCTGAAGGGGGTGGGGCTGGAGGAGGCCGCCCCCAGGAACGCCGGGTAAGGGCGGCGCCCGGTGGGCGGGGCCACGGCCGCGGGCGCCGCCCCATCCAGGCTGAGCTGTTTCAACCTCTGTTTCAGGATGAAGAGGGCCAACTCCCTGAATGTGCTGAATGTCGGAGCCAGAGACGGTCAGGACGGCAGCAAGGTGAGTCCGGGAAAAAAACGGCTTATGTCCCAATCTGGATCAAATACTGACTTACTTAGGAGTGTTAGAGCCACAAAGAAAGAAGAAACATGGCGGGTTGATTTCCACTTGTTTAGTTTCCAGAGGTTAGCTCTGTTCATCAGCAGGTACACAAGCAGTGTGGACATTTGTGTGGTTTCTCCTGAGTGGAAAGTCTATGAAATGTTAGTTATCACAAGGTTCTTGTTGGTAAAACGTTCAGAAATACAGTTTTAACAGTTAATTTAAGCTTGTCTATTCTGATTGAGTATGTTAGTTTGGTTTAAACTCAGTCATATGACTTTGTCCAGAACGCTCTTCCCTCCAAAAGCCCCCCCACTTCCTTCCTGACTCATCTCTAGGAGTCTGAAACGGGACGTGATGAAGTTCCTCAGTCATACTTCTTTGGTATTTAGGCCCTCTGAGCCAACCGCACCCTTAAAGTTACATTTTTTCTTGGTCAAATCACCCCAACTTCTACAGCTGGAGGCTTATTTCGATTTTCCTTAAGTAAAAGATAATAAAATGGATGTCATCAGATAGCAACTTTAACCCTGTAATGCCAAATGTATCATATTTGATACATAAGGTTTCTGAAATGTTTTGCGTCTGACACCTTTTCCACAATTTAATGGTAAAATCTTTGTTCAAAATCCTATTTTACACAATCAGATACACCTGATAACAGGGGGCAGAAGACCACACAAAAAATAATCTGGACTTATCGCATAGTAATAAATTATTTATATTAAAAACGTAATTTTATTTTTTCTTTTTACATATTTTGTTAAAAGGCCAAATAAGGAATTCAAACCCCAAAAAAGTCATTTTCTGTTTTGTTTTAATCTTGGATCAGGCTTTAAGGGGTTAATGAGGAATTCCTCAGATTTAGTCAAACTGTGGCCAGAGTTTCAATCAATCAATCAATCAAATTTATTTGTATAGCCCTTTACAATACCCAAATGGTATTCAAAGGGCTTTACAACAAAGCCATAAAACAATACAAAAAACATACAAAACATACAAACAACTAAAAATGCTGTAGTGCTGCAGCGCTGCAGGGCATTAAAAGCCTTCCAGAAGTGCGTAGAAAGGAGCAGACAGAAGGAGGAGACCTAAGAGACCCTAGTCCGAATTAAATGCTAATTTAAAAAAGTGGGTCTTTAGCTTTTTTTTTTTTTTTAAAAGGCTGAGGTCAGTAGTAGTTTGACCCGCATTATGACAGCTGTCAGTCAGAGTAGTCTCTGTGTGTGTGACGGTGCCCAGAAAGGACCAAAAAACTCACTGGAGGTCTGAATCTGTCCGTTCTCCCCCGCTTTGCCCCGCAGCCCAGCGGCCTGACAGACCGCCGGGGGCTGAGCAGCAGCACGCAGAGCCTGGGCCGCAGGAGCTCGCTGGGGGGGGCCAGCTAGCAGGAAGAACCGGAGGAGAAGAGGGCCTTCAAATCCACCCCGCAGACCCATCGCACTCACAGTCTTTCTATTCCAGTTTCTGAAATGTTTCGTCACACGTTTAGATTTTAAATGACTCATTTACACGTTAAAGAAACGTAAAAACCTTTTAGGGTGAGAACAAACCAACCAAGTTATGTTTGAGGTGGTTTTTCCTCATCCCACTGCTCCCTTTTTAAGCAGGATTTCTATTAAAACAATCATTTTAAGGAGAAAAAAAATGAGCTATTTATAATGTAAATTAAAAAAAACCTTTTAAAATGACTTTTTAAAGTTCAGGGATGTAAAGTATTTAGCTGAAGTTTAAGTTTACACTTTTGAGGTCATTTTATGGCTAATGATGTCAAACTCAGTTCACTTCTGACATTCCAAAAATCGGGAAACAAACGGGGGAGTCGCACAAAAACGGACGCCTGCTCCACAAAACGGCACAAGATACGGTCGCCTCATTTCTCTGATTCTAAGTATTAACCTTTAGGAGTCGGTTTGATCAAAGGATGGCGTTTAGCTTTCTGAGGGCGGGAAGATCAGGCATGTAAAGTCCACTTTAATCAGAGTGAACAGGACTCAGTCAGCCTGGAGAGATGGCCTGAGTTTAGCTTTTGGTTTTCTTTAGGTTTTCTCAGCACTTCTGAGCCATGAACGGGCAAAAAAGCCATTTAAAGAGCGGTCAGAAAGCCCTCCCGACTGGTCAAACTGGTTTCCCGTCACACTGCAGCTTCCCCGAAGGAGCCCTGACCTGGAAGGAGGAAGAAGATGAGCAAACCCGGCTCACCGATTGGTGGACTGGACAAACGCAGTCTTTGGGTTCTAATTTGAACCATATGACCCGTCTGTGGATTAATTTCTGTCCACTCCACCAATCAGTGAGCAGCGTTTCTCCTCTTCCCTCCTGGTCGGAGCTAGTTTGGAAAATAGTCATCAACTGTTTTTAGCGTTTCCCCCCCCCCTTTTCCACATATTTACATGTTTTCTGACCAATCGTAAGTACTTAAAACCACTTTAGCACTTAATCTACAGAAAAAAGAACAAACTTCCCCTTATTTTATCGGAAATGTCTTTAAAAAAGGTGACCCCACCTACAGGATGCTCAGACCGGCTGTAGATTTGCTGTGGTAGAAGCTGTTGGTTCCAGTAGGAGCCTCGACTGTTACATGCTTGAAAACGCACTTAAAAATGCTGCAAAAAAAGAAGACAAATAGACGTAGAGACTGTTCTGTTGAAAAAGAACGTTTGTATTTTATATTTGCAAACAGAAATAAATTCCAGTGAGACACAAAGTTTTCTGTTGGCATGGAAAATGTTTTTTTTTTTCTCTGCATTCAAACATAATTTTGCAGTTTTCATTCTTATTTTATCTAAAGAGAATAAAATGTATAAAAACACTTTTACAAGAAGGAAATACAAAAGTTAGGTAGAAAAGTTCCTGGTTGAAAAACAGCCACACAAACTATTTGTTCTGACGGGTGAGTATGTCAAACAAACAGTTCTGCCTGTATAACAGACACTAAACGCACCACAGATGTGAAGAATATCCACAATGACAGTAAACACTGAGACCGTCCCCCCGGTTCCTCTCAGAACTCTTTTTTCTTGATCCGATTTTGAGCTGGAAAACTGAACCTGGTGCCTCATCCACCAGAAGCCTCGTTAACGGGGATTTCTCCATTAAAAAGTCTGTTTTTTTTCTTTATTTAAATAGTTCAAACTGCTGTTGGCACGTGAAAAGAGCTGATTATTAATCTAACAATGGGCATTTATTACCAAACCCTCTCCGTCCATCTGCCTTCTACACGACGGCTGTTGTGCTACAACCATTAAAAAACGTGTAGAAGAAGAAGTGGAGGCTCGCTAATGCTACATTTAAATAGACCAAATTAAACAACTGTAGCTTCTCCAACATGGAAACTACTTTTACAGAACATTCAGAGGACATTTCCTGTCGGAAAGTGAGTGGATGTTCTTCCTTTTTAGGTGGAGGCTATCTCTAAAGTGACAACTAGATGGCGTTAGGTGCTCTTCTGAGACTCTGCTTGGTTAGGAGATGCTGTGGCCCACAGGGATGGTCACTGGGGGGGGGGCAGTTGTGGACAGCCCACCTCCCCCTGCTTCTGAAGGACTTCGCTCACACTAGAGACGACTTCAGAGGCTGATTCCAGTTGGCCCAAAAGAGGTTTTCCAGTCCCACAAATCCAAAGGACGGCCCCTCAGATCTGCTGGGATCCAGAACACTGACCTCTGCTTTGTCCGGGGCCTTTTCCGAACCGTCTTTATGTCTGATGAGCGATCTGAGCGATTTTCTGCAGCATTTCCTCCGACTCCAGCTGCTCCAGGGTCAGCAGAGACAGACCCAGCTGGTCCTCCTGGAGGGCAGAGTGAGAAACGCTGTGAGGAAGGGCAGAAAGAGACGCCAGGATCTCGAAAAGTTAGGAAATGAGCACAAAACACACAGAGAACGAGCCCCCTCATTCCCGTCAGGTCTTTATATCGCACACGATCTTAACCCGATTCTTCTTCTATGGAAAAATAAGTGTGAATATGGTGTTTAAGGGGTTTAATTAATGACATTATGGTTAAAAAAAGAAACTACAAGTTCTGCGCTACATGCAACTCATTATTTGATTATGTATCTTTGAGTTTCTCCAGCCAATCAGAACGACCCAGACGTTTTGTTACAAAAGCTAGTAAGAATTTATAAGCGAGAAATGATTTATAAATAAATAAATACAACTAAAAATGGTGAATAATAATATAAACTTTTTGGCTGACTTTGGGATTATACATTTTTTTTCTTAAATTCTAAAATGATTAAAAAATACAATTATAAGAAAACTTTTTGGCAAAATGGAAAATTATAAAATTATTTAAAAAATACAATTAAAAATGACAAATAAAATAATTCTAAAAAACTCTTAGGCTGAGTGGGAAATTAGGAAATGCTAAAGCTAATGCTAATGCGGGATCAAACTTAAAAAAAAAAAACAACTGGATCTGGAGTCTGGATCTGCATTTTCTCCTGCCAGCCGGTACGATCCAGATATCGGATCGGGACAACCCTAGACTGGGTGTTCCCATTCTGGGTGCTGTCTGAGGCCCCACCTGGCTGAATCCCCACCCGTCTGAGCCCCCACCTGTCCGAGCCCCCACCTGTCCCAGCCCCACCTGTCCGAGCCCCACCTGTCCGAGCCCCCACCTGTCTGAACGGCTGTGCCATCTGCCTGAGGAAGTGCTTGGACAGCTGGACGGCCTCGTCCACGGTCAGGTTCAGGCTTCCGTCCGTGATGTGCTCCTGGATCCAGCGGGGCAGCTTCCCCCGTTTGTCGGCCCGGGCGTAGCGCTGCGGGGCGGAGGCCGGTCAAGGGTCACTGGGGCTGTGTGTGTGTGTGTGTGTGTGTGTGTGTGTGTGTGTGACGAGGGGGTGTGGGGGGGGGGGGAACCAAACCCGGCTCACCTTGTCGGCGAACACCATGAGGCCGTAGTCGGTCTTGCCCCGGATGGCCCGGCCCACGCACTGGGCCGCGTGCCGCATGGCGTCAAAGGTCAGGAAGTCGTTCTCTCGGATCTGAAACTGGTCCCGCAGGTACTCCAGCCGGGCCTGGAGCCGCAGGAGGCACGTCAGACACCCTCTGCCTCCCATTTATCACCCAAGTCCCCCTCTCACGCCTTTAAAGACCTCGAGTGTTACTCAGAGCTGCCAGAAGACACTTCTGACTTTTAGTTTTTAGTCGCTTTGGCTGCAAATTGTGTTGCAACTTACTGCAACAAATCCCTCAAATTTAAGTGGAAATCCTGGAAATATCGTTACATCTCACATGATCTGACTCTTCTTCTATGGAAATATAAGTGTGAAAATGGTTGTTAAGGGTTTAATTGATGACATCATCATTTATATCGGTAGTTTCTGTATTTAATCTCTGTTGTGTGCTTTAAAAAAAAACTTTTGTTAGACTTCATTTCTACGTATAAATGAAATTAATTTGAATAAGTTTCTCCAGCCAATCAGCACGGGCCGGACAGCTTCATAATAGGTGATGTCACAACCGCTGACCAATGAGGAAAAAGCCAGAGGGGGGTCAAACATCCCAACATTGTTTGGGGTTAAAAAGAGATCAAAATCAAATCCTGGAAAGCTCTCATTGTATCACAGCTCCTCCACCGGAGGGGGGAAAGCGGCCTGAGGCCGGACGTGGTGCTCTGACCTTCAGGATGCGGCTCTGCGTGTACACGTACGGGACGCCGAACATGATGACGGCCCGGCCAAAGTGGTGCACTGCACAGAAAACACAGCACACATAGCTCCATTCAAAGCCTGAAGGACTCATCACATCACAGCCAAAAGCAGGTGGATATCTTCCTGTTCATGGTTCTGATGGAGGTCCGTTCCTGTTCAACAGGAGTTTTTTCTTCCCACAGTCACCCCGTGCACTGAATCAGAGCAATCTGTCGGTTTTCTTGGCTGGGAAACTCTTCTCATTAGGGATCGAATCCCCTGAATACAGTATACTGTATATAAGCCATTCTGATTGTACATACGTCACTCAAATCTCCGTGTTACTTCCTTGTATTTTTATCTATTTTTATTGTTTATACCTTATGCACCTTTTCCTCCTTGTTTGAACCCTCTTTAATCACTAAATCTATGTGTGACCAGTGAATTTCTCCACTGTGAGATCAATAAAGCTTATCTTATTTTATCTGAATTGCAGCCGGATCGAATCGGATCGTTTTTCCCTGATGAACACAAACTGAGCAGAGAAAGCCGACCACTTACCGAAGTCTATCCCTTCGGAGACTTTTCCTCTGGCCACGGACAGCAGGATGGCCCCTCGGCCGTTCTCACAGGCCTGGAAACAGAGTAATTTACAGATCGGGAACCGGCAGACGGACGGAAACCCTTCAGAGTCAGAGGGTTTGTAAAAGTCGTTTAAACAGAGAGTTTCAAATCGGACCTCCTGGTATTTTTCCAGGGCCATGCTGGTCTCTGCTGCGTCCGGAGTCTCGATGAAGATCAGCTTGTTCCTCTGGATGTTCTCCAGGATCCCCTGCAAACAGACCAGACCTCTGGTGCGTTAGGCTCCGGCATCCTTCCCTAAAGCTCCCGTTTCAGCCCCGGGACTCCGGCCCGGGTCCCGCCCCCCCCCGCCTCTGACCTGCTCATACCACGACGCCACGATGTTCTCCATGTAGACGTAGCTGGTGAAGAAGGCCACGATCCCGTCGGGAACGATGGCCGACATCTCCAGGAGGAGGTTGCCGTAGTTACGGATCACAGCTGGAGGAAGGAGGAGCAAACAGCCATTCCTTTATCCACCCCTGATCCCGTTTTCAGACATCTGATCAAGCAGAAAAACGCAATTGCGTGCAAAATTTTGAAGGTTTTTACAAACCAAAGTCCTCTCTGGTCTCAAACTTTGAGCTGAGGGCCACCTGGTCGTTCCCCCTGCCAACGATCTAAGTCGGACAAACAGGAAAAGGCAAAAAAATGACAACATAAGATGAGAGTTTCCGTGGAGATGCAAGCAGACATGTCTTCCACCTTTAAATGATCCCTTATTTCTGTCCCTGGGTGCAGATATCTGGAGGCCTTTTCACTTTGCTGGAGGAGTGGAGAACTTATTGTCTCTATAAAAGCTCCTCATAAAACGAGCCATGTCTTTATGAGGGCCCGCCTCCTCGTCTAAGCCCCGCCCACTCAGTACACAGACAGCTGCTGTCCTTAAAATGGGTATTCAAACAAAGTCTGTCTAAAGCCGCTTAAAGGAGCCCTCAGAAATGTTCAAAATGGGGCCAGTGAGTGGAGCGACGCACCAGAGGACAAAGGCAGGTCCGCGCGAGCGTCATGGTGAAGGACGCCATGGTAACGGGGCGGAAGTCGAGGATTCTGGGATAGATGTCCAGAGGGGAGAGAGTCTAGGGACACACACACACAAGCCAAATAAAGAACAATGAGTGGCAACAGATGGACTTTAAATATCAAACATGAGAGCCGATTACTCCGTTTAGATTTCTGCCTTTGGTGCAAAAAAAGGGACACCAAAGAGTCAAATGCATTTTAGATACTGATTATTTAGATACTAATGACATCAAGAATCCATCCGAAGTGGAGAAAAGTTGGGTTTTTTAGTAACAGTTTGATTGGTGCTTGTTTGAAGTGGTGTAAAAACAGATGTACGGGAGAAAAGAATATGAGAAGAACAAAAAAGTAAGAAGGATTTCATCTCAGGAGGATAGAAAATACCAAATAAAGAACAATAAGTGGCAGCAAATGTACAATTCAGGCCTTTAAATATCAACCATGAGAGCCGATCACTCCATTTACATTTCTGCGTTTGGTTAAAAAAAAAAAGGGACACGAAAGACTCAAACGCATTTTAGAAAATCAATGTAATTGTAAAAATAAATGTAGGAGAGAAAAGAATACGAGAAGAACCAAAAGTAAGAAGGATTTCATCTCAGAGGATAAAAATATACTTTTTTCATGCAGTGTAAAATGTCTGTGAAGGTTCTGGGGGAGAGGAGGAGACCGACGTACCCCTGAGGTGATGACCACCGACTGGAACCTCTGAAAAACCGGTTTGATGGCGATGGACGGGTCCATGCAGCTGAGAGGGGGCAGAGAGGATAAAACATGGCCTCAGTCCAGCTAAAACACAGACGGCAAACACACAGAAACCAAACGGAAACACAACGACACCTGAAGTGCAGCACGGGGTTGGCGATGGTCGGAGTTCTGTCCTCAAACGGCTCGATGATGATGGTGAAGCCTTCACACAGACAGAGAGGATCAATAAGTTTAACCACAGAGCTCAAAAAGTGGAAATGGTGACACACTGACCCAAAAACATGGCAGAAGAAGACACAATAAACCCACAAAATGAAGGAAAACCAGCACAGAGATGCAAAAAACCACAGCATGGAGAATCCATAGTAGACCAGAAACACAAATTACGTCCACAGAAAGGTTAAAATAACCAAAAAGAAATTTGTCAGACTCAAGACGAATGCAAATGATGTGTCAACAGACACAAAGGTTTAATCCAGAGCAACTCTGTGGGACTAAATAACCAGAGAAACTGTCAGAAAGGAGAGAATGGAAGCTGTTTAAAAGAGCAGAGAGATGAAGTTTAAGATGAATCTGAGCGGAAAAGGAGACTTTAGCTGCATCTCTTTGGGCTTTAACCAATAAAGACTTTACACAGCTTTTGGATAAACAATTTTCCTGTTTTCTAACAGCTGGCCTGATTCCTCTAAGGCTCTGGATCAGGGATGTCCCGATCCAGCTTTTTGCACTTCCGATCCGATCCCGGCCTATCAGAGCCTGTGTTAAAGTTTAAAGTTATTTATCTACTTACTAAGTTGTCAGACTCATGTTGAAGAGGGAATTACTCTGATAACTTAATGGTTAGGACACAGACCTGTGGGTTAGAGATGCTAATGCTCGTGTGTGATCGGACTTTAAAAAAGAAAACTGGATCTGGAGTATGGATCTACATTTTCTCCTGCCGGCCGATACGCAGTTTTTAGTAAATATCGGCGACCGATACGGTCCAGATACCAGATCTGGACCGGCCTAATCCGGGTGTCCTCTGCTGGCGGCGGTACCTTGGCTGTAGGTGCTGACCAGAGTGGCAAAGTTGGAGATTAAGGTGACGGCGGAGAAGTCTGCGATGTCGGCGATCTCCAGAGTCCTGAGCAGCGACTGCAGCCTCTCCGCACAAAACCTGGACACCAGGGGTTAAAGGTCAAGGAGGGGCTGCAGGAACCAGAGGGAAGGGGGTGGGGGCAAGCGGCCAGACCTGAGGGGCTTCCGGTCGATGCAGACTTTCTCGAAGATGTCCTTTAGGAACTGGGGGGCGCTCTCCTGGACCACGTGCTGGACCCGCAGCCGGGCCTTCAGGTACTCCAGGAACCGCCTCATGAAGCCCACAAAGTGCTCCGCCGTCCGGATGGAGCCCGGGACCGCCTCTGCCGGACAGACGGGACCCGTTTAGGGCCGGACCCGGACCCAGATCCAGACACGGACCCAGACACGGACCCAGACACGGACCCGGACCCAGACACAGACACAGACACAGACACTGACCCAGACCCAGACACGGACCCAGACACGGACCAAGACACGGACCCAGACCCGGACCCAGACCCAGACCCAGACCAAGACACGGACCCAGACCAAGACACGGACCCAGACCCAGACCCGGACCCAGACCAAGACATGGACCCCGGCCCAGACACGGACCCAGACCCAGACACGGACCCAGACACGGACCCAGAACCAAACACGGACCCAGAGACAGACACAGACACGGACCCAGACCCAGACATGGACCCGGACCCAGACCCAGACCCGGACACGGACCAAGACACGGCCCAGACACAGACCCAGACCCAGACACGGACACGGACCCAGACCCGGACACAGACCCAGACCCAGACCCGATAGCCCAAAAGAGGCTGGCGGTCAAACCTTGGAGTATCTCGTCGGGCAGCACCGGATTGGCCAGGTAGACGTCCGTCTCCCTGGCAACGTTGGCCTCCTTCAGCCCCTCCACCAGCCGCCGGTACTCCTGCCTCAGCTTGGCGGCGTCCGTCTCCTTTATCCTGCAACGACCACGAAACCCCTGAAGAAAAGACTTCCCTGCAGGTCTCTGCTCAACATCTCACTTTGTCCCAAACAGGGTCAGAATAAGGGACGAAACGGAGGAAAAAACACCCCCAGAAGTGAAACATGAGCCTGATCAGACCCTCCAGAGGGGTAGAAATCACAGATTTAAAGCCTGATTCTTTTTAGGATGCACACACAAACAATCGACCTCAGAACTGATTAACTTTTAGCTAAAAAACAGCTTCTGATGTCTCTAAAGGCCCGTTTTCCTTGACTCGTCTCTCCTCACGTGCAGAAAAACTGAAGGCATATCAGGATAAGTTGGAAGCCGGGACAAAAAAACCTTTCAGAGGAGATAAAAGGTAAAATCTGACGGGGAAGTTAGCACATAAGAGAGGGGAGAAGAAACAAATGAGGAAAATGGACCTTGAACAGCACAGATGCTGCTTTAAGATCTTTAAAAGTTATAAATCCAAGAAAGTCACGGACATCTTAATTAACTGTTAGACCCCCATTCCTGTGACCTCGCCCTTTCCACTTTTATCTGCTCAAATTATTTCTCTATTTCAGGATTTTATCCTGTTTCTTTTCTTTGATTCGAGCCCATTCTTCCACATCTTAGAATCAGAGCGCCTTTTATTGTCCTCCAACACATTTAGAAGGAGATTAAAGCCAAATCTAAAGGGCACAGAAATATCCAAATATCAATTATCAAACATAATCTAACAATCGGAGCTAAGGTGCACAGTCCTGGGTGTGTGCAGATTGCAGAATAATATATATGGCTGTAAAAACAGTGAAAATGAACAGTGAAAAGAAGCTGTTTGTGGTTCTGGTTCTCAGCCTCAGAGGAGTTTTACCTCAAAGTTGCTGCAGTTTTCTCCTTAAAAGTCTAAAAAAGGCGCTTTGCATGCAGCAAAGTGAAGTTTGCAGCTCTGATTGGATCCTGAAATGGTGACATCATCCACTCTGAAGAGCTTCAGCTTTAACGGGGGCTAACATGTAGCTAAAGGGGCAGGATTCCTCTCATTTTCTGGGCTGGAACTCGGAGGAGAAGCCGCCGGCTTACTTTTGGATGGTGTTCTGCAGCGTGTCCACGTTGCCCTGGCAGCGGTCCAGCGTGCGCCTGGTGATGTTCACGCTCATGGAGTCGATGCACACGTTGTCTGAGGGGAGGCGGGCGGGAGGGCGGTTAGAGGCGGGGGAGCGGCGTTCTGTCGGCGGCGTGGAGCCGAACGCGGCTGCTCACCGATGTTATGGGCCTCGTCGAACACCACCACCGACTTCTTGGCCAGCTCTTTGGACACCAGGTCGGCTATTTTGGGGTCCAGGAGGTAGTGGTAGCTGTACACGACGATGTTGGCGTGCAGGATCTGACACAGAAACAGAAAAAAATGAGTAAAATGGAGAGGATTTTCTTAGTATTAAGAGCAGTAAGAGAGACTTTTAACAACTCCATTCACATTAAACACCCATAATTGTATTTTAACTATCCATTTCTTCTTCTTTAAAAAAAAAAATATTACAAGGAACATTTTATCTCAGGATTCAACAAACCGAATAGCGAGCCAGGTAGTAGGGACACCAGCCTTTCCTCCTGCCAAACTCCTTCAGGTCGTCCAGGTTGTAGATGCCGGCGGGCAGAGGCACCTGCCGCCCGACTGCATCGAATTCCTGATTCATCACAGAAGGAACAGAGTCACAGAGACCTTCCCTCCATTTCCCACTCACTCCTGGAAGACCAGCTCTGTCAGGATCCACAGTAACCAGGTCAGCCGCACACATTAGGTGTTTAATTATGGTCCCACCAGCAACACACACTGTCCCACGGTCAACCAGCTGCTTTCATAAATCCACCATGGCCACATTTAAAGGAAGACCATTCAAAATCCCCTCCGTCTAACCACCACCTGCTTATCCTGCTCCATCCACTGCGCACTGGCGGATGAGTATATCAAGAGGACAGAGTTTTATAGATAACTTTGAATGGTTTATGCCATCAAAGGGTTTTTAAACATCAATATTACACATAAAAATTGTGGAGTTGTGCATATGATCTTAATCTAAAATGTGTTTAAGGCCCAAAAAATACACAAATCTGCACCGTGTTTGGATTTAAAGCCAAACTGGTGGTCAGAGATAAAGAGCGAATGTCCCATTTTACTCAGTAAAATCCTCTCCATGACCCTGGATAACAAACTGGCTAAAGCTCTGGGCCAATCATTGTCTCTGTTATCTACTTTGCCAACTTCCTCTTCTACGACAAGCCATAATATAACATACAAACATCTCCAGGCACTAAAAAACCCCTGACCTCCTCCTCTATCAGCTATCAGGGCGGGTTCTCTGGGCCGGACCAGGTCCGGTGAGTTCTCACCTCATAGAAGCGACACACCGGCACGTTGGAGTTGCTGTGCCGCTGCGCCCGGATGTAGGAGGCCGTCAGGCTGTGGCATTTCCCGTCCACCTCCTTCCCAAAGCGCAGGGAGCTCACCTGTGAACGGGCCGACAGCTGTGAGGCTCCACTGATGGCTGACCGCTGCCTGTTTTGTGTGAGGTTGGAGTCGGTACCTCGGGGTGGATGCAGAGGTTCTTCCTGGAGGACAGCGCCAGACCCAGGAAGTTGTTGGCCTCTCCCGTTTCTTTGGAGTAGAACTCCATCAGCTTCCTCAGCTCCTCCACAACCTCATAACACAGAAGGGGGGGGCTTTAAAACACCTTTTCACATCTCTTATAATGTTTCTCTGGGTCTGTACTGCTGTGATCCCTGACTCACCTTCTCGATCTCTGGAACTGTTCTGGAGCAGTAAATCAGTTTGGTCACCTCCAGAGGAAAAGCCTGAAAGACAGAACCCAACACGACGGGCTCAGATGAGGCGGAACAAACAAAAGCTCCTGGGAGCCCAGCGAATCTGAGTCTAAACTCACCTTCTGATAGGCGATAATGAGGGAAAGCAGAGAGATAGTCTTCCCAGTTCCTGAAGGCATCTCCAGGACTCCGTGGCCCTGAACACAGACAGAAGAAGTTACCTCAGCCCTCATGTTTTACCATCAAATGAGAAATCTGACACATTACCTACAGAAAAAGAGAAAATAATAAATATAAGGATCAAAATCTTATGTTTTCAGTTAATCACATGCGAACACACAGCACAGTGCAGGTTTTATGTTCAGAGGTTTGAGATTCAGCTGCTGGGGGTGAAAAGATTTACTTATTTCAGATTAAATCTGAGTTTAAGCAATGAAACTAAAGAAAATAAATAAATAAATAAGGCCCTTGTCTGTGGACCAAGCTGCCATTTCAGGTTCAGGGAGCAGACCTCCTTTGCAGACTTTGAAGCGTCTTTAACTGCTGGTACTGACATAACTGAACTGATTTTGACATTTTTATGACAGTATCCTCCTCATTGACACTTCCCACCTTGGCATCCAGAGTCCTCTTCAGCTCCAGCATGTAGGAGTACTGCTCTGGATAGATGTAGTCATACGGAAAATACACCAGCAGACCCTCGATGTTCAGCCTGGAAAAGACAGAGGATGCTAATAGCAACTTTATGGGTCGAAAACTTATGTGGAGGGTACTAACAATAAGATACACTGCAGGGTAAATCTGCATTAAATGCTAAACTCTGAGTAAACGTAAACTTAGCTCGGTTATGTCCCACCGGCATCTCCATAAACACGTTTGAGCGCATTTAAGCTAACACCGGTTATCCCTTTTTTCTAGCAGTTTAACATAAAAAACACTCACTTCATTGTAGAAAGATGGTTTAACAGCCGCTCCTAATTATTTTTGCTCAGCTTGGTTACTTTGAAACGATCATTTGGTGTCTTAAACGCGCAGAAAAACACAAAACAAACACACTTGTGCAGCGCTACAAACTACAGCTCTTCTTCTACGGTTGTTCTCAACGTCCGCCAGCGCCTTAGCGCCGTCGACAGGGTAAAGAAAGAAATGCTTTAATCCTGTTTTAGATGCATTTGTAGCGCCTTATAAAACAGAATTATTTGCTTTCCTCAAATTTTGTTCGAGGTGGCAATTATTATCTGTAGGTTTCAGCTACCACGGCAGATTTGTCAACTTATTTGGTTTTAATTTGAAATCCGGAAATCCAGACACCGTGCTTGATGTGAAGAGGGGTGTGCACTTCCGGTCAATATTATTAAAAATAAAGAAATAATACAAACCTTCTTATTTGTTGAGCACTTTGTTGGAAATATTCGTCACTTAGTTTAAAAATATTTTTGTCACAAAGAGAATTGCTGAAAGTAGATTATCTAAACTTACATTTCCGTCGAACTTTAACTGTGCAGTTATACATAATGACCGCTAGGGGGCATTAAATCATTCAAAGTGGAAAAAGGTCCTCCTGACCGTTTGAATAATAAGGATAACTCATTATTTCCATCTTAATTGTCAAATTAGCAATCAAAGAAATAAGAGCTCGGGTTAACTGTAAAATTATAAACAGCACACACTGGTTTGATAGTAAATATTGTTTAGTTAGTTTAATCTAAATCATATGTAAACATGTACACGTGTGTTGGGGATTTTTCTAGAGATGAGCGTCATGCAATCAAAACACATTGTTTCATTTGTACAGTAATAACGAATTAAGTGCTCCATGGACACATTACACTGTATTGTCTAATAATTCTGGCTTATGTCAAGGCTCATACGGGTGCTCTAATGACAATTGTGTCAACACAAAACTCTAGCTTTTGTAATAGTAATAATGAGAGGAATTTTAATGATGTTTCAAAATGTCAACATGAGTCTGTGAGGCCAGGTTTTCTTCATAAGAAACCATTTATTCATAGATTTACAGAGGTATATACAGCATAAATGACATTCGGTTAGTAGGCTAATGTGATCATGCAGACACTGAACATCAGAGAAAGTGACGTCGGGCCTGGACACAGAAAGAAAGTAGATTTCAAAAAGGCCGGCATCTGGAAATGAACTACAAAGCAGCGCTTTCTTCCACTGAAAGCATTTTGACAATCAAGAATAAACATCCTGAGTTTCTTTCTGTTTTTATTTCAAAAAGAGAAATCTCCCGGTCAAATGTTGCTGTTCACAAGAAGCAACACCAGATGGAAGCTGGAAGCTGGAGTTTTTAGCAGAATGACGACACAATCAGCAGTTTTTCACTTCTTCTGCGGTACTGAGACACTCAGAGGATAGATTCCTGGACGAGTAAAGCTAAATAACGTCTCTACTAATCAGCTTATCACAGGTCAACCGGGCGACATTTAAATCTGACTGATCGTGTCCCATTGAAAAGCCGTCCGTCCAGCAAGACAACCAACACGGTTTAGTTTGGGACGCTTCTGTCTCTGTGTCTTGTGTCGGGTTCGGCTCGGACGAAGGCTCCCGAGGACCCGCCGGTTGCCCCGGCTGCCGTCTTTCAGTCTCTCCTGACCTTTGACCTCTGACCTCGGCCCCTCCACCTCACAGCTCGCAGCGGTCGTCTGTGGCTTTGTAGCGGTCCATGATGCTCAGCACGTCCTCCAGGATGGACGGGCCCAGGTCCAGGTCCAGGTCCAGCCCGGCCATGGAGTCGGCCCGCGACACGGCGGAGCAGGCGGGGGCGGGGGGGCCGCCGCCGCCGCCGCACGGCGACTCGCTGCGCTCGCTCCTCAGGTCCTCGTTGCTCAGCCCGGCGTCGGAGTCCAGGCTGAGGCCCCGGCGGGCGTCCAGGGGCCCGCCGGCCTCCGACATGGAGTCCTCGGAGGAGACCTCCGAGAAGGAGCCGGAGGAGGGGACCAACCGGCGCACGGCGGGGGACAGCGCGATGTCCCGGCAGGGGTCCGCCGGCACGCCGTTTCCACAGGGCGGCGGCGGCGGCGGGCGGTGCGGGGCGATGGCGGCGGCGTCCTCCAGGTGGAGGCGGGGCGGCTTGGGCGGGGCCTGCTCGTGGGCGATGAAGACGGGCATGGAGACGGTGGTCTTCAGCAGGCCGTTGGCGGCGTGCTGGTAGTGGAAGCCGTTGTAGGCGTAGCTGTGCGCCTCCTGGCCGCCGTTGCCGTTGCCGTTGCCGTTGCCGGGGGCGCCGCCCCCGCCGCCGCCGGCACGCCGCTCCACGCTGTGCGAGCGGGCGTGGCCGTTCTGCGGCCGGCCCTGGGACGGCAGCATGTCCAGCTTGCCCTGGAGGAAGCCCACGTCCCCGAACATGTCGCCCTGGCCCTCGGCGCCCACGTGCGCGCTGTGGCGCACGTCGCCCAGCGGCGGGCTGATCATGTCCCCCGACAGCAGGTCCCGCAGCCGCAGCCGCTTCCCCTTCTTGGGGGTGGAGGTCTTCAGGTACATGGGGGTCTTGGCCGGCATTCTGCCTCCTACCAGTGGACGGGTCGGGTGGGTAAAAAAAACCAGACCCAAGTCAAAAGGAAAATGCGGCAGCTTCTGGTCTGGGCCGGCCGGTGGGGGGGG